CAGAGGCACCACCCCTCCCCCCAATGAACTGGTTCAATTATGGAAACATTTGTGAATTGTCATTGGAATCCCTGTAAAAAAATGGTTGAGTTTAATTCGGACCATACCTGGGAATGGTGTAAAGTTAGCCAAATCAGTCAGAGATTTATCTAAATTATGCTTGTGCCAAAACAGCATTCCAAGAGCCTTAGGTAAAAAAAACAAAAAAGAATTATCAGAAAAAAAAAGAGAAAACAAGAATCAAAGAGGCCAACAGATCATTACAAGTAATCTGCAAACTAAGCAATAAGTACAGAAAGTAAAGATAAATTTAATTAAAGTAAAAAAGAGTGTATTTACCACATTACTTTACATTACCTGTTCAACATTGTACCCATGCTTGTCTTTAGCTACTGTTACATAATCATCCACTGAAAAAGTGAACAGAAAAACTTCAAACAAACATTTAGTGAGGAATTTGTACTAACATGTAAAGACAACAATTCCAGATTAAGAATCAAGTGTGCAACTGTTTGAAACTTGTGTACCTCACACATTACAAACATGGACAAGTGTACAAGTATATGTGTAAACATGAGAAAATAAATATTATTACCAGTACATGATTAAAAAAAATTACTGTTATAAGCAAGATCGATCATATTACTCTACATCATCTATACCATCACTACAAAAAAGTTCTGCAGCGAAATAATTCTTTCCAGCCTTAAAAACACCTCTAGTACTTTTGATTGTAATAACAATGAAAATTGCTGATGAAGTAATTGTCAATGCAATCATTTTTGCTAGTGGCTTGCTGTAAGAATTGCTGCTGTAATAACAAAAGTTTATCTCAAACAATTTTATTGAGTGAAATTGAATCACTTGAATGTTTGCCTGAAGTTGAAGAATTTTACTATCAGAGAACTTATAATGGTTTTTGGTTGACTGAAAAATGATTAATGTTGGTTTACACAAGAAAAATAACAAAAAAAGTTGACCATTTGGTGGTAGGTTATGTAGAATGTATTATACTTACATTTTGAATTTGGAATATCTTCAACTGGGGCCCAAACAAGAAGTGCATTATGGCGGAGAGCCGAATCGTGTTTAGCTTCCTCCTTGTCTAAATTTAGAACAAATTTCAAAAAAAAGAAAACAAATTAATTGGTCATTAAGATTTCACTAGTACAATGTATGTTGGAATTCTGGTGAATCCTTAAAAAAAGCCTTTGGGGGAGGGAGGATAATATTATAAGGGAAACACTCTAGTCTCTTCAAGCTATGGAAACTGGGATGAGCTTGGACTGGATGGGTCACTAGCTCTGGTACAGACTTTTCCATCTACCTATTTAATTCATGTAGCTCTAAATTATAAAACAAATAAAAATGTATTTCAGTTCACACAATTAACACTTCTTTCCTTCAAAAATTAGAAACAATTTTTGTATCAACCTTCTATCGTAAACACAAAGTTTGGTTCACTTACTACCTCCCCTATCCCTCCCCCCAACATGTCGTAGTGCTGTCAGGAGATTTTCTAGCTGCCAGGTGCAATGAAGAAATAATATCATTTTTCTGGTTAGATAGAGCATGAATTTAAGATATTTTTTGTGGCATTTTTGCTTACATCTCAAACTAGTTGGGGGGGCTTACAGCACACATTTCTAAAACTGTGCAAAACCCAACTCATTCTCAAGCAAGATAAACAGGTTTACAAAGGTACAATATACACCTGTAGGTACTACATGTGAGGACAGAGAGTGCATAGTTTGAACTATTTTCAATCAATTAGAAGTCATTCATGAATTGATCTAAAGGAACCTAAGACAAAATATGGGATTTAATGCAATTTATGCAACAAACACCCTTTGCCTCACAAAACCAGCTGCACTATAAAATACAGACTGGTTTAAACCAAGTATAAATAATTCATGGTGAAAAGAAACATCAAAATTTGAATGTTGGTAACAGAGCCAGGGTCCAAAAACATTTTTTTGACACTCTATCAACAGAGGAACTAAAATTTTGGCATCTTGAGAGTGTTAACCAGCGAAAAAAGAGCTCTGGTTAAAAAAAACGGTGTTTTGAAAAGCTTTTCCCAAAAATTCGATTCCCATCCATCCATCTCCTCGTTGTCTGAACATCAAAGTAATTTTCTTGACTTTCTCTTAAAGTAGGAGTTTTGTGGGAGGTTTAAACGACAAATTGTCAATGATTATCTTAGTTTACAATTGAAAGATGCAAATGAGGAATTTATCAAACCGGAAACTCAATCTAACCAAGAAAAAATCACGAAATTCTCAACACTAAGTACTTCATGAATTTTCAGTGCGACATAGTAACGCGAAACGCCTTTCAAAGTTTCCAGTTTTAATTGCCTAAAACAAGCTGCACAAAATACAGTTCATTGATAAGTTAGAGAAAAAACGCTTCAGTCACAAATGCGTTGAAATGCGGTGGAGAATACATCAAAAGTTTTAGACAATTTACGAAAGAAACCATCAAAGTAAAGTTAAAATTTGTGCAAGTTACAGGTCGGCTTGCCGGTGAAGTAATAATTTCTCATATTTCAAAGAATATCTCTCCTCAGGTGGACGAATAGTGACCCAGTTTAACGACATTTTAATGGATCATTGTCTGCCTTTCACAGCCAGAAATGTCCATCATCATTTAACGTAAACACAGGAAACTTACTCTCGGTAACGAGCTCTGGTATGGAAGCTTGGTACTCTTCACCAACTCTCATCCCGGGCTCTGCGAACACAAACATTTGAGAACAATTCATAGGGGTTTACGATTTCCAGTAAGAAGTTGCACTTCTCCCGGGAAAAAATTATGGTACTGATTCTCTAACCGTGGTATTCCCCGTCACTATCGCTTTCTATCTTAGACACGTGTTGGTTGTTGTCAGTATGCATCTCCTCTCCTTTCTTCCCATCCACTCGCGAATGTGCCATGATTGAAGTTCGCGTCTCCGAAGCCATTGAACCCGTCTGAATGCTTTAAATCACGTCAGTATACTTAATAAAGTTATTTTCCGCCGCTTACGGCCTCAAGAGACGAAACACATGGAAAATTAAAAGAAAAATTAGGAGGTTTTCCCACTTTTCCGACACGAAAGACGAAGCGAAGCCGACGTAAAACAGCACCAAATCACGTGATATGTTTTCACATTAACATATGATAATGTATTCATGACAATAGGAATAAATTATATAAGAGTGCGTTACCTTTGTAAGAATGTCCATTTCCATTTTCCCTTTTATCTGTTCAGAAGAAAAGAACTAAAGATCTTGATTTGATACAGAGTAGCAAAGTGAAGGACCAATGAAAAAATCTCAAAACGGTCATTTAACTTTCATTAAGTTAGAATCATTTAAAATGAGATTAGTATCCGAAATAACAATATCTTATTTTAGTTTTTTTATCCCGATGAGTGATTCTGGTGATTAGATCATGTCCACTCCTGGTATACCAGTTGCCTAGCGCCACAAATCAACCACATGGCTTTGAATTTTTACATCTGTCTGACAGAGTTTATCGCGGGCAGCAGTTTTCGTCACTATGTCGTCTGCACAGATTAACCAAAATTTGATAAAAGCGTGACTATATTTATATATCAAGTTAGCGGTATATATTCCTCAGCAATCGTTGAAATACTATCTAAGGAACTTCGAGAATATTTACACTACTGAATAATTCATAAATTGAGGATGTCTTGTGTAAGAAATCAAGCAATAAAACGCCTGTAAACTCATGAGAAAAAAACGAGATGCCTTATTTGATGGAATTTTTGAATAAAGAAGCTCGCAAACTGAGAGTTTCTGATATTTTCCTTTCCTGCTCGTTCGATAACAAATTGACCGGAAATGAGAAGGGAAAATATTTTCCACAATCACAGAATATATTTTAACGGTGCTTTCTGAGTAAAGAGGTACATCTGATCGCGCGTTGGATCGAATACTAAAGCCAAGAAAAGGAGGTCTTTGTTTCGAGCTAGGAACCAAGTATTTGTTTCGAACCGACCTATAGACAACAGACGGTCAGAACTGGCAAGTCACGAATTTTTCAACATTTCGTTTGGTAAAGATTTGAAGCGAAAAGTGGTCGAGAACGTCATTTTAAGTGAATATCGGGGTTGAAGAAATTAATGCGAACCGAGTAATGCACTGATAAGGGTAGCAGAATAATAGATTTGTAAAATGATGTAGGATTGGACTACTAAGTTGTTAACAATGACTATTTACTCACGGCCTTTCATATTTTCTCCCGGAAAATTTCGCCAACCCGCTGCTATGACGTCTGACGCGTAGAAATCTTTGCCTCGCTGCCTCGGAATAGCTTCTCCTCGAGTTTCGCAAAGTTCGGCCGAAAATCTACGCTAACAGGTAACCAGCCGCTCTTGAATCATATTTATAAGTCATATATTTTCTGTCCACATGTCTGTATGTATGTTAATTTCTCGTGGTATTCAAGAGCAGTCAAGCGTGAAAAATTATCACGTGTTGAATTTGCATGTGAACTTGCTGATTGGCGGACAACAATTCCGTGGAGATCTTTGCGACGAGGCCGACAGGTTTTCGATGCGGAAACGAACGCAGGCAAATTTTATCTCATATTTCCTTGTAGTGGAGTCATTGGAGAGATCAATCCTCTAGTTGTTTAGCATATATTTGATAGTCTGTGATGATAAGTGCCAAGTCACAATCTGAATCTTCAAATTTTCATCTTGGACCTTTTATTACAAATGGGAAATGAAAAATGGGACTGAATGGAAAAAAAGAAGTAAGCAATACGATCATGGTAGCATTAAGACTCAGAGTTGATTGATGTTGTTATAATCTACATCTACATATACATTTATTAGTCTTGAAAAGGGGGGCCATCACGCAAGACAAAATCGCATAATGGTTTCAAAACTCATTTGTTTTGTTTCAGTTTCAAAAAGCATTTCTTTAAGTGGACCAGTCAAGTTGTTAATGTACCGGCTGCGTCGTGTGTGCGCTCCTGATACAAAAACATCTCGTGCGGAGAGGGTCACACATTTGGCCGGTGATTTCTTGCCCTCCAGCTCTTTTTGAAAGAGAGCGTGTAAACACGCAAAAAATTAAACCCACGCAACAGAGTCCAGGGACACGTGTTACAAGAGTTTTTACTATCGCGCTTGATCTTGGGAAAGACGCTCTTGATATTCAAGCGTGTAAGATGACCACTTGACGATCGCACGTCAGTGAAAGAATCTCGTCACTAGTAGAGAAGGGGAGACGGCGAAAAGCTTTCGGGAAATCCTTTCATACACGCATTCGTAGGAAAATAAGAGATTTGCTTTACAAGCTATATATATAATCTTCAGAGTCGAGGGTTCGCGTGTAGTCCCTGAATACATTGGGGGAGAACATTCTGACGCCACCGCCCATGGCGATAGTGTTTTTGACATTTTGACGCGAGCATAATTTGTAACAAAGTGATGGTTGATAATCTTTCTTGGGGGTGGCAAAGAAGGGGTTCCAATCACACATCAAGCTGAATTTTTTCTATTAAATTACGCTCCACGGAACTAAATACTGTAAGAAGCTGATACTGTAAGAT